TTGTGGTCATGTCTGACCCATTGCAACCCCATAGACAATGTTCCTCCAGGCCTTCCTGTCCTCTACCATCCTCTGGAGTCCATTTAAGCTCATACTGACTGCTTCAGTGACTCCATCATTCTCTGTCGTCCCCTTCTTCTTTTGCCCTCAGTCTTTCCCAGCATTAGGCTCTTCTCCAGTGAGTCCTTCCTTCTCATTAGGTGGCCAAAGTTTTTGAGTTTCATCTTCAGCATCTGGCCTTCTAAAGAGCAGTCAGGGTTGATCTCCTCTAGGACTATAATAATCATAATGTTCATTACATTGGTATTAGTCACATAATAATAATATTTGGTCTTGTCACAGTTGTAAAGTGAATCACTGGAGTTGTTAAGTTAGTAACATGGTTGTTAAATTAAACTGGCTTCCCAATTGACTTTGGGAAGGTCACAAAAGATGATCACATGTCCCTGGGAGGTATAACCGTCATTAATATGAGTCAGTTGCCAACCATCTAAATTTTGATCAACAGCCGTAAGTGTGAAAAATCGTCATAAGTCACCTTTTTCAGTGCTGTTGTAACTTTGAACAGTTACTAGATGAATTGGTAAGTCGAGGGTTACCTGTAGTCACTCAATATTCCTTATGGCTTTTTTTAAAAAAAATCCTTAATTGGGCTTTTGCTTTCTTCATTTCATTTTCAATATTTGCATTAATATTTCCCACATTAGCTAGAAGTTTCTCTCTCTCTCTCTCTCTCTTATATAAAGATGGTAATATTCTGGCCATATCAGAACCCACCGCTGGACTTTGGAAGCAGGAGGATTAGCCAAGGCTCTCAGCAAAACAGAGGGAAGCAATTAATTCCCTTTCCCCTTTTCACCTACAGTTCTATAAATAGAGCCTCCATACAAAGGTAAAGGTAAAGGTTCCCATCGCACATCATCGCACTTGTCATATCCTCAAATAGCAGAGGTATTGCACTTGCTGCTTAATTGAAACCATATTCTCTGGTTTGTTTTTAATCTTATTTTGAGAAGATCTCCTGGCACATATCTGCAAAATGTGCCCCTTCAGCCTAGCACAGCTGGTCTCGCGCAGCAAGATAAAAGCATGACAATCAAGTTTGTGGTTTGGTGTGTGAAACAAACCTAAAAAATGTAATTAATTTGCGGTTCGGTGTGTTGTGTGCTTCCAGGTCACTGAGTTAATTCAATAAACCATGGTTCATATCAGTCCATGGAAACACAGCAATGGATCCTGACTTGCTGGCTAAATGTTCTTGAGGGTAATTGAATTTTCTACCTATTTCATATTATCTGCAGAATTATCCCAATAGAGAAGAGAGAGTGGTAGATCCATTTTGGAATAATAAGACACGGGCCCTTGCCACATCCAGCTATTGCTCTGCAGAAAAGTGTTGCAGCTGCCACAAAGTTGAACTTGTAAAAGGCATTTTCTTGGCAAGTGTGACAAGGTTAAAAGTGTTTTTCTTGAAACTGTTCTCTTCATGCATCACTGCACTGTACATTATTACCATTTGAAACTATGAATTTCAGAAGCTGCACGCAATCTAGGCCAGGGGCCAGCTGTGTCCAAAATAATTTTTTTAAAAAAATACTGCTAGTTTAGTGTTTGGATGACATTAAGGAAACTTAAGAAAACACATCAGCTCAGAACATTTCCACAAGGACATTAAAAGAACATCCACAGAACCACATTAAAAGCGAACCGGTTTAAGGCCAAAAGTACTTCATCTAGAGTCCCAGAATTGTTTGGGGCAAGTCCCCCTTCCCCCCAGCTCTTCTGCAACTGATCATTGTCACTATATTAGATGGAGCAAAAGTTGAGTAATCAATTTGGTTCTTGTCCTGTTTCCCCTTTCCTCCCCCTGAGCACTGAGGAATGGAAAGATACAGTTTAAGAAAACCTAACGATCATCATGCTTTAAATTCCCTATTCTTAATTCTGCCTTGAATTAAAACTAGAGGCTGCTCGTCATTTGGATCCTCCAGTTCATATGGAATTAGTCTAATTAAGACAGTGTTTAGCAAAAGGTGCTCTCCAGATATGTTGTATGACATCTATCTTGATCCCTGGGTATCACGGCAGTCAATCATGCTGACTGTGTGGTTGATGGGAGCTGGGGCCCTCTGTTCCTCTAGAGTAGGGCTGTTAAACTCCCAGTCCGCAGGCCAGATGCATCATGCACATCTGGGGAGCAATAGGTGACAGATGTCCATTGGGGTCAATTAATCTTTTGCGGTAGAATTCAGTGCCGTTGATTGGCTAACAATGAGATAATGTTACCCAGGATTGGATGGTCAGCCTCCTATGAAAACAGCCATATAGTGTTAGTTATTCCTACTGCTATAAATTAAAGTAGGACAGCCAGTTTGGTATAGTAATTAAGGCATCAAGGTAAAAATCACTGCCACCTTAATCCTAAAACCAGCTGAGTGACCTTCACTCTTTCTCAACTCTAGGAAGAAGGCAATGGCAAACTACTATGAGGGAAAAACCTTGCCAAGAAAGCCAGCAGGGAATTGTCCAGGCAGTCTCCAGGAGTCAAAAACAAAGGCATGCACGCACGCACGCATGCACGCACACACACACACACAAATGATAAAGGTAAAGGTTCCCCTCGCACATATGTGCTAGTCGTTCCCAACTCTAGAGGATGGTGCTCATCTCAGTTTCAAAGCTGAAGAGCCAGCGCTGCCCAAATACGTCTCCGTGGTCATGTGGCCGGCATGACTAAATGCTGTGAACATACACAGTTAAAGTATTATTTTTCATACAATACAGGTAATCATCAACTTAATGACCACAATTGAGCCCAAAATTTATGTTGCTAAGTGAAACATTTATGTGAGTTGTGCCCCATTTTGCAACTTCTCTTGCCACAATTGTTAAGTGAAGCATTGCAGTTATTAAATTAGTAACCTGGCTTCCCCATTGACTTTGCTTGTCAGAAGTTCGCAAAAGATGATCACATCATGACACCCCTCCTCCCCAACACTGCAACCATCATAAATATGAACGAGTTACTAAGAAGCTGGATTTTGATCACATGATACTGCAATGGTCGTAAGTGTGAAAAGTAGCAATAGCACTTAGACTTATATCATGCTTCACAGCCCTCTCTAAGCGGTTTACAGAGTCAACAGCCTTAAGTCACCATGGTAACTTTGAATAATCACTAAATGAACTGCTGTAAGTCGAGGACTACCTATAAATGTTTGGGGAAGGTGTCAATGAACCATTTGAAACTCCATGAAGTGGGTCGATGAATGGAAAAGTGTGAGGACCACCGCCTTAAGACACCCTTTACCCAGTTTGTTATTCATATTTGTATTCACTTAATTATCTGGGTTACACAGAGCATAAACTCTCTGCACCAGATGGCTTCCCCACAGCGTACGAGCCTCAAATTGAGATGGGGTCAACAGATAACAGATTAACAAGAGTTGGAAAGGACTTTATAGGTCATCTAGTCCAACCCCCACCCCCGCTCAAGCAGGAGACCCTACACCATTTCTGACAAATGGCAGTCCAATCTCTTTTTGAAAGCCTCTAGTGATGAAGCTCTCACAACTTCAGAAGGCAACAACTGTTCCATTGGTTGATTTTTCTCACTATCAGAAAGTTCCTTCTTATTTCCAGGTTGAATCTCTCTTTGGTCAGTTTCCATCCATTATTCCTTGTCTGGCCTTTGGGTGCCTTGGAAAATAGCTCTCCTCTCTGCGGCAGTCCCTCAAATATTGGAAGACCAATATTATGTCTCCCCTGGTCTTTCTTTTCATTAAACTAGCCATGCTCAGTTCCTGCAGCCATTCTTCATATGTTTTAGCCTCCAGTCCCCTAATCATCCTGGTTGCTCTTCTCTGCACTCTTTCTAAAGCAGGGGTGTCCAATCTTGGGAACTTTAAGACTTGTGGACTTCAACTCCCAGAATTCCCCAGCCAGCCGGGGGGGGGGGCTGGGATTGTTCCCGCCTCCCTTCGAGGGCAGAAAATGATCGGGGTGCTGGCTGGGGAATTCTGGGAGTTGAAGTCCACAAGTCTTGAAGTTCCCAAGTTTAGACACCCCTACTCTAGAGTCTCAACATCTTTTTTATGGTAGGGTGACCAAAACTGGATGCAGTGTTCCAAGTGTGGTCTTACTAAGGCTTTACACGCCCTAGTAAGTTCCAAAACCCACCTCCCCGCTGGCTTTGCCGCAGCTGCGCTTCTCGGGGGGCGGAGAAGCGATTTAAATGTCCCGCCGGAGAGGCGGGGCGGAAGCGGCTGGTGGGCCTCCTTTCTCCTCCCGCGGCTCCGATTGGCGGCGGCGGCGGCGGCGCTTAGCGGGCGAGGCGGGGCCACGGGACGGTGCCTGCCTGGCTTGGGGCGCCGCTGCAGCCTCAGCTGACCGCGGGGCGCCCGCACCGCTGCCAGCCGCGCCGACGCAGCCCCCGTGGTCAGGGAGGCCGCCAGCCGGGCCCGGCCGGGCTTTGCGCCATGGAAGAAGAAGCGCGGCGGAGGCGTTGAGGGGCGCCTTGCCGGGGAGCGAAGGCGAGCGGGGCCACGAGGCGGAGAAGCCGGAGCTGCTGGAGAAGAGATGAGCGGCGTCGGCGGTAGCGGCGCTCCTTCGGGGCCGGGCTCCGGCTCAGCGCCCTGCCGCTTCGCCCACTACTTCGTGCTGTGCGGGATCGACGCCGACAGCGGCTTGGAGCCGGATGAATTAGCAGGTGAGCAGCCCGAGGGGGACGGACGGCGGAGGACAAAAGGGGGGATCCGTCCCTCTGGCTCGGCTGGGCTCCGAAGCTCCCGGGGTGGCGCTTATGTAGGTCGGCGCTGCCTCCCTTCCTCCTTCCCGCTTGCTTTTTCTCTCTCTCTCCCGGGCATCGGTCTCCCGGGGCGGCTCCGGGCTTAGCCCTTTGTGGGGAGCCGCCGACGCGCTCCTCGATCGGCGATCCCCAGGATTGCTGGGGCGCAAAGGCGCAAAAGGCAGTTTGTTACCGGGCTCACCCGGGGGGGTTGGGTTTGTTCCCGCCTCCCTTCGAGGGCAGAAAATGATCGGGGTGCCCTTGACCGATTCCCCCAAACCCCCCGGCAAGAAGGGGGCGCGGGGACCCCAGGTGGCCTTTTGAAAAAGGACTCTGGTCGCTGCGCCTTCTCTGGGGGGCTTCGCCGCGCAGCCGCTTTCTCCTTTCTCTCCCTGGAGGAAATTTAACTGGGACGGGTACTTCGGAGGAGACCCCCCCTCACTCCAATCCCCAGCCTTTCGGTGCTCTTGAGGACCCCCCCACCCTTCCTCCGCCCAGCTATGCCTTTCTATTTCCCCTCAGATACGATTCCCACGTTAAAAGAAAAGAGAGGGGGGGGGGATAAAGGAGGTTTATTTTTTTCCTTACGAAGCAGCAACTCGTCTCCTTGCCCCATCATGTTTATCCCTCCGGTTTAATGTTCGCCCCCCTCCCCTTTCCCTGCCTTCTTTCTTTATATCCCCGCCCATTATCCCCAAAATCGTGATGCCTCCAATGCCTGCAGTAGCCAGCTTTGGTTATGTCACTGGCAAGAGTAACCATGTTTCAATGCAGTTGTCTTTTATCATAGAGGTTGGATACAATCGGCTCCCCCCCCCCATTTCCCTCCCCATGGCCTTTTGCTGTCGTCAGGCCCAGGTGTTGTTGGGTTGTGAAAGGTTTATATACACTTCTCTGGTTGTTGCAGGGCCTCTCTGTTGAATCAAGAGCTTGCTGAAGTCCAAAGAACAAGGGGCGGGGGGAACCACCTTTGTAACTGCTGTGTTGTTACAGAATGCGCCTTTTGAAAGTGGGTTGAAAGCCCTTTTTGGAGAGGGTTTTTTTTTGAGAGGCTATGGTGTCTAAACCTCTGACTGTGGATGGAGTAGAAAATGTTCATTAATGTTGCACCGGTATTAATTGATAATGGCAACGCAGTCCACTGACTGCCCCAAAAATATACAGGGGGGGAAAAATAATCATTGAACTATACTTAAGAAGCGTATAATCGGAGGAAAAAGGGCTCTTTGCCAATAGATAGTGATGTTTGAATAAAGGAAAATCATTGATCTAAGGGGAAAAAAAACACCAAACCACTTTCCAATGTAGTCTCCAAAATATGGCATATTGGTTTTCAGCAGGACAATTTCATTCTTCCCTTTGTTTCCTTCAGAGCTGCCTGGACCTCTAATTATTTCTTTAGTATCCTTTCTTTGATTTTTTTTTAACTGAATTTTTCTATCAGCAGCTATCTTAAAAAGCATCTGTGCATGTTGGGAGAAAAGCCTCACATAATATTTACTAATTTCAGGAGAATGTTGCTTTTATGTATATTAAAGCTGGAGAAATGTCAGAGCCTCTTTGCATAACCAGCTGTAGAAAAAAGGGGAAAATCTGCTAAAAAAAAATAGATAAGGGTACAAGGATTAGCAAACCATTTTAAAAGCCTGTAATTAATGCTGTTTGTGGACTCTGAAAAGGATTTAAATTGTAGTGCTGTTTTAGAAAATTCTGCAGTGTCTCAAGCCAATGGATAAAAAAAGGAATTCAATACTCTCAACTTCTGTTTGTTCTGTTCAAAATGAGACTAGCAATCTAGTAGTGACTTAATTACTGCTACATAAAATTGCAGATTTTACCTTTGATATTGGGCTGGTTCTGAAAAATCATGTATTCATTCCAGTATTCTATTTTAACAAGTATGTGAGTGCTTGGTTAGCAATAAAATCTTTAGAGGACTGGAAACAGAGATATTATATGTTTGTTGTTCGGTTATTGTATTTAACTTACCCTAGCAAAGGAAGTATATATTCTTAAACAATTCTTCAGGCTACTCTGAAATTAAAGATAGATTCATTTAAGGGGGTTTGTTGTTGTTTATTTGATATTTTCAGAAATTTAAGTGCTGCTTTTTCAGCTGTTCAGCTTACTTTCTAGGACCGTGATAGCTAACCTATGGCACATGTGCCACAGGTGGCATGCAGAGCCCTCTGTGGGCACACAAGCTGTCGCCCCAGGTCAGCTTTACCACGCATGCGCACCCACCCCCTGCCAGCCATCTGATTTTTGGTTCTTTGCTGTCCATGCACGGGGGAGGGACGCATGTGGGAGACATGCACACATGTGGTTAGTTTTTGCTCCCAGGAGACTGAAGGGAGGCCTACTAGGCCCAAAATCAGGTGGGCGGGTTGCACAAGGAGGGGGTCACACACACACATGTGCTGAGGGGGTGGGGTGTACAGTGGGGATGCATGCACATTGCATTTTGGGTGCAGGTGCGCTTTCGGCACACAACAACAAAAAGGTTAACCATCATTGTTCTAGGATGTCTATAGCGTATGTTGGAACTGAATGGGCATATTTCAAGGCAAGTGAATACAGCACGATTGACTTGAATTTGGGAATCATGGTAAGCACTAAAGAAGTCTAGGATACATTAGCCAACCATGATCCCATAGATTGATTGAAAAGGGGGATTTTTGCCTATGTGATAACGCTTCTCCTAGAACTCGGATAGGTACAAGATTTGCCATGAAGTACAGATAGTACATATTAGCGTTGCCTTCAGATGTACAACTTTTGTAACCTAATGCAATTTAAGTACCTCAGCTATAAAATGTTTTCTTCTTCTATTTTAGTGAGATAAATATCCTGCCCCAACTTTTTCTCCCCTTAGTATCTAACCTGATAAGAACAGCGGAGGTAGCTTGTCCATGACTTTTAACTATGGAGTCCTTGGTGCTCTCTGAGCTTGATTGCTTGCAGATGCTTCATTCCTCAACTGGGTAATATCATCAGAGCACAGTTCAACTCCGAGCTACAGATAATCCTCTTGTAGTACTTGTGACCTGTAGTCCAGCCTCCTGTCCTCTCATACTATCTTGGATAAATGACTGTCTAGGTTTGTTTTTTAAAAAAAATTGTCTGAGATGGTATGAGGACTGTAGCTTTGGGCATAGTGGTTTGGACTAGAAGACTTCCATGGTTCCTTCTAGCCCTATAATTTGCCTTGTCTTAATATTTTCCTTCAGGGATGCGGTGAACTTGTTGATTGTAAGGTGGGCAGTTGAGCGGTTAGAATCCCTAGTGCCGCATAACGAAGTGAGCTCCGGTTACTTGACCCAGCTTCTGGCAACCTAGCAGTTCGAAAGCACGTAAAAAATGCAAGTAGAAAAATAGGGATCACTCTTGAGGGAAGGTAACAGCGCTTCTTGTGCCTTCGGCCTTTAGTCATGCCGGCCGCATGACCATGGAGATGTCTTCGGACAGAGCTGGCTCTTTGGCTTTGAAATGAGCACCACCCCCTAGAGCCGGAAACGAGTAGCACACATGTGCGAGGGAACCTTTACCTTTAATATTTTTCTTAATATAGATTTTGCTTCAACGGACGGTAGCATCTGCGTAGATCTGGGCTCAGAAATGACCATAGTTAGGCTGATAAGTACATGGATGGGAGACCACAAGGACTCTGGATTAGACTGAGAAATTGAAAACAGTTCCTGGAAAAAGACAAAGGCAGATTATTTTTCTACTATTGGCAAGAAAGCAGCATGGAGATGTCCATGAAAGCATAGGGCTGAAGTTTTCTTCAGTTTCCTATTTTTACTTCACAGGAAAATATTGGTTTTCTATGAGAAAATCCTTAATTAGGTAAATTATATTTTGTCCGGAGTATTTGTTATTGAATTTAAAAATATAACAGATACAAACAAAAATAGACATTAGTTTCAAGTGTTCGCCTTATGAAATATACTTTAGTTTCTAAGATAATAGTACTTTGCCTGTAATTTTTCCACTTTCAAGCATTGGATTTAGTTACAGTATGCAGTATAGTTTCCATTTCCATAAATGTTTTTTCTCTCTCCATGAGAAGCTTTTTGGTTCTTTGAAACTGAAGGTGAACCCAGTTTCATTTGCATAGCATTTACCTTTGGGAAGTTTAAACTAAAATAACTTCTAATTCCTCTTTCTGAAAATAGCTGCACAATACTTGCGTTGCTATGCTAATTGGGAGTTTGCTGTTACCTTTTAAGTGTGAATATGCTGTTGTTTTCAGAGCTGTAAAAGCAGATTTGCATCTTTCTCAAGGGCGAATGCAAATATCCACAGCTTAAATAGCTTAACCCTGATCTGAAGTTACTTTTGGGTATTAACTTTTTTTCTGCTGATACTGAAGTTACTCCTGCATTTCTTTTTCTGCTGCTGTTTGAGAATTGACTTTAGATTTTTCATATTTGATATAACAGTCTAAAGGTAAAGGTTTCCCTCACACATATGTGGTAGTTGTTCCTGACTCTCTAGGGAGCAGTGCTCATCTCCGTTTCAAAGTCGAAGAGCCAGCGCTGTCTGAAGACATCTCCGTGGTCATGTAGCCAATATGACTAAATGCCAAAGGCGCACGAAGCACTTTTACCTTCCCACCAAAGATGGTTCCTATTTTTCTTCTTGCATTTTTACATGCTTTTGAACTGCTAGGATGGCAGAAGCCGGGACAAGTAACGGGAGCTCATTCCGTTAAGTGGCGCTAGGGATTCGAACCGCTGAACTGCCAACCTTCTGATTGACAAGCTCCGCATCTTAGCCACTGAGCCACTTGAATTACGGTCCAGCAAAACATAATTTTTTTGAACATTTACATGGTATGATCTTGGTCTTGAACCTTCATAAGAACAAAGGTTGTCAAGTAAAATTGTTGATAATCTAGTTCTAGTGAATTTAGAACTTTAGCCATTACTTTAGCTAGCTTGGTTTACTTTAGCCTTCTGGAAGGATGTGAAGACCTGGCTTTCCCCTCCAAGCATTGGGCTAGAACAGGGATGTCCAACCTTGGCAACTTTTTAAGACTTGTGGACTTCAACTTCTAGGATTCTCCAGCCAGCCATGCTGTTGTTTCTATTGGTTGTTGGGAGCCACCTAGCACCACTATCTGAAATATGGAGCCATACAAGTTCAATAAATAAATCTTAGTGTATTTCTGCCACTACTTTATCCAACTTCCTTCTCTAAGCCGAAGCTTAACAGATGTGGAATCAGGGTGTTCTTACTCTTGGAGGGGGTACCAGGCAAGGAGCACTTGCATAAATTCCGTTTCACTTGTTGTTTTCAATTGTAAATAAGTATTCCAAAGGAGAGCAAGTTCTTTCTGGGTTCCTTGCCTCATTTTAGGGTCCTGGAACTTCCCAAGATTGCGCTAAATAATGGCAAATCATCTATTTTGTTTAAACCCCTTAAAGGCATAAAGTGGGACGAGAAAAGAGTTATTACTATTGTATCCCTGCAACATTGTCCCCATCCCGAAAACATTGCAAAATTGCCTATATTTGCAATTTTAAAAAATTCAAATACATTATGCATGGTGTGGACTTATTGATTGGTTGATTAATTGATTGATTGATTGATTGAAGGGGGGATATCAAGCTGAATGGCATTTAGTTTTATAACACTTGATGGCAAACTTTAATTGCTAGAGTAATCAATGACATTGTTGCCTTTTAAGAATGCTTTGGTTTCGCTTCCTGTTTTGTTTATATAAAGCCTTAAAATGGACCTGCTTCAGTGCTTTGAATGGATTGATAGCTTTTGTGAAAGCCATTCTTAGCTGGTTGGCAGGATATCAATTTTGGAATAAATAAAAGCTTTGGTTGATTAATTGGTAGAAAAGTGTAATTCGGAGGCAGAGATTTAAGTGCACACTAGTTTGTTTCCTTCTGATTCTGGTAGACTGCAACAGGGAATTTAGAATGGAATACAGAAATGAATATGGGCTTTTGTTAAGACAGGATCTTTTGTTTTTTAAAAGGTCCACACACTGATATCCTTTGTGTTTGTTGTATAATTCTGTGGTTTGAGATTATGGGTATAGCTATCAAGGGGCATAGCAAAGACTTAAGGACTCTAAAGTATTCCGCTTCACACACACACACATATATATATACATATATATATGTAGGTCTCTAGTTGTTCGGGTTTTCTCCCACGTAGAATTGGAGATGTCTTGGCGACGTTTCGACGAAGTCTCATTCGTCATCTTCAGGCTGCTTCAGACTACTTCAGGTTTGGTGTTTCCAGGAGTAGGAGTATATATATATATATGTATATATATACACATATACATATACATATACATATATTATTACACCTTTATGACATTTTTATTATTGATCACTGGAAATGCAAATATCTGAAGTTCACTATTTAAACTAGTAGCTGGGCTATTTAAATTGAAGGAAATGAAGACAGACTAAGTGGGGGAAATATATGGTTAATTTCTGTTAAACCTATGCTTTTTAAACTAAAAATTAATAAATATATTTACAATAAAAGGAATTCAGCTTCTGCATAAATTATGCCAAAGAGGTTGATAATGATGACAAACTCAGGTAGCCCTCAACTTAATGACCACAGTTGAGCCCAAAGTTTATGTTGCTAAGTGGGAAATTTGTTAAGTGAATCACTGCAGTTGTTAAATTAGGGACACATTTGTTAAGTCAATCTGGTTTCCCCATTGACTTTGCTTGTCAGAAGGCCGCAAAAAGGAAACACTGCAACTGTCATAAATAATGTGAGTCAGTTGTCAAGCATTCGAATATAAATCACTTGACCATGGAGACCATTTAAAGTAGCAAATATTTTAAATCTAAGAGGATGTAGGAATTATGATAGTGCACTTTATTTTGCCAATTTATTTAGCAAAAGGTATTTATGTGAGCAAAAAGGTATTTTTACCATCCTGATGTGCTTGGATTATAATTCCCAGCATTCTCAACACGCTTGGAAATTTGGGGAGTTATATCCCAACACTTCTAAATTTCATGCTACTGTGTTTTTATTCCCGCTTGGAATCAACTTTAATGTCAAAACTGCAGTGAGATATGTAGCCAACTAATAGGTCAGCCAAATGAGTCAATTTTGCAGCAACATCTAGAACTTTTCTCCTGCAACCAAGAAAAAAAGGGAATTAGATGCATTTTGTATTAGCATTATTATTTGTATTGCATTACACAAAATCAACATTGAATCTAATATAATGCCGCTTGTTTGAATGAAAATAAAGCAGGTGGAGTCGTGGTCTTTTGAATCAAGTGAATAATTTCCCCATCTAATTCCAGATTTTTTGGTATTATACTGCGACAGGGTGATAAATTCTAGGTTGGGTGACACAGTTTTTATTGATTTATTTACTACATTTCTATGCTGTCCATCTCGTCTAGGTGGCTCTGGGTGGCTACGTCATTCAATAAAAATGACATATAAAACATTAAAACAAGAAAGGCCATAAATTTAAAATTCAGTTGAAATTCAATTTATCAAAATGGAGAAGAAGGAAGTTGGGTGTATTGAACTGTTCAATTAAACATGGTTTGCTAAGTATATTGCAGTTATCAAAGTTTGCTGAACAAAACTGGAATTACCAGGATTCAAATGACAAGCTAAACCCATAACCTATGATTTATAAGCCGTAGGGCTTGGAGTCCTATAACACAAAGCCAAAGATAAATGCTTTGATTTCCAATCAGCAACTTTTCCCATGAGAATTAGAGTCCAATTCATTGAAAGAAGGTTGCGGTAAGGAAGACTACAATAAAATGAAGGACCCTGCGACCAAAGCCCTTCATGGTATTGGACCTGGGTACTTGAGAGACCGCCTGCTGCCAATTACCTCCAATAG